AAAAAATTGCTCAAGCACTGGATAATAGTAGTGTATATGCCTGAAACTATATATAGATGTATTATTTATTTATACATTTATCCATGCATATATATATAAAGCAGATAAGATGTGTATACAGAGTATCCCATTAGAAACAAATCCATTAATTAAATATGAAACATTACTATATACTAAAGCCACACATCCAGTACCTGACCATTCAAATCACATGTTTTACTTAGTGCGAGGTCTTAAGATGTTTTAAAGTATGCCTGTATTTCTACTCAATGTTTGTTACTTTTATATAAATGAGGCACAGTTTCACTCTAAAATCTAAGACACTATTTATAATGTGGTTGCCTTAACACGTTGATGACGGCCTGACCCACTGGTGAGTCGTACTTGTCTGTTCCGTGTGTTACGCTTGTATATAAAAAAATATGTAGTACAAAATTTAATTTTATTTTAATTATTCAACAGTATACATTAACATTTCAACATTATAATCAAACATTCACTACAAAACAAATAACTTAAAATGAAACTTATTAAATATGATTAATTTTTTCTATGGAATTTTTTAAAACAGGCTAAACAAAGTACCGGCTTACCCTTACAATTATCACAATATGTTGTTACTTACTTTGCTCTATTCATGGCGTACTGAGTACCTTTTAGGCTTGCTAAGCGTTTATAACATTCTTTGTATCGCTTTCTCGTCTTCCTCCTGGATTCTTCGTACAAATTAAAAAAATGTTTTTCTTTTTGGTTATTATTACTTCATTAAAGGGATTCACAAAATAGACCGCTAATTCAAGCGCCGCCGCATGAAAAGGACAATGAATATCCACGCTGCCATCAACATGTTAAAAGAACTCTAGCAAAGATAATCTTGCATCCTATTAAAATAAAAGGTCACTGAAGAAAATGAAAGAATTCCAACTGCTGTATGTTCAGCAGATAATGTGAAAAAAAAAAAAAATTAAGAAAAGAACAGTTATTTGGGCAGCAATCATTATACAACTGGATTTATTCACACTTTTTCTTTATTTTTTCATGTATGTAATTCCATGCCTTTTTCAGCTCAAATATTGTATAACACTGGAAGACTGACAGTATCTCATGTGAAAATGAGTCAGCAATATATCACTGCAAAGGTTCAGCTAAAAGCCCATAAAAATAAGTATCAAATCTTATTAGTTCAAGCTAGAGACTAACATTTAAAAAAAGTTCTTTGTAATATACAAATATTGTATACTCTCTTATTATTTTACATTCTGGTGATATGAGCTAATAAATCAATAATGTATTGCCAGTGAACCAGCAAGAACATACCCACCTGTACCCTAAGATGACAGAATTTTAAATAAGGAATATCCTTCCCCGCCCCCTCTTTCTTTTGGAAGGGGAGACACGAAATGCCAGTTGATTTCATCACAAGTCTAAAATTCTACAATCTTCATAACAAAGATGCCATCAATTATTTTATCACTTTAAATCCTGAAATATTTAGCTTTTGCCAAATTCCTAGTCTCTATAACCATTCAATCTGAAATTTAAAATACAGTACTTATGCTCTTATTGACCCATATTCTGAATGTAAACTACATTTCTTTTGCTATTGTACATTTTGGCTTCATAATCTTAAAAACTTCCTATTCTTTAAAAAATAACATCAAGGGTGAAATTTGACTTTGACTGAAAAAGTATTATAAAATACTGGATTAGAGGCATATGCAAGTCAGATATTAAAATTATTTCAACATGAAACTGACATGTTGCTTTTAAACAAAGACTCATTTTTCACATTTATACATGAGGAAATAATTTTGTAATGATGCCATAAAATAAAGATTGATACTTCTTTGTTATTCACCTGCCATGCTTTATGGCGCCTATGAAAGGGAAGCCAAACACACACTAAGACAGAATGTGACACATGCACACAAAAGAAATGTTTCCTGTCAAACTAGAGGATATTTGTAAATATTTCTCTCATCTACTGTCCTCGTTCATTTCTACAAATAGTTTACAGTTAAAAAAAATCAGTCAAAATCACTCGCAGGTGCCTAACGGAAAAATGCCACAAGATTCTCTAACTATGCTGATACATCAGAAAACACTTTTGCAACAAAACCGAAAAAAACACTGTTAAAACTAATAAATTAATTCTGCTTACGCTTAATTAAGTAGCGCAGAAAGAGAATAACGAGTTATATAAATGTTAAGGCAAGGAAAACAGTTTTTTATGCAAGCAGCTACATCACAAATAATTGTTTTACACATTCTTAGAACAATTTATTTCGCTACTAATTGTGAATGCAAATAATTTGCGATCATAACGTCAGCCATTAGAAACAAATTTAAGATTGTGATTAAATATCTTCTTGTACATTGAAAAAAAAAGAAAGATCTTTTATCACTTCATATTTTGTGCATACAGCTAACCACAATAAAAATCTTACAAAAAGCAACAGACAATATTCTTCAATATCTTAAGAACAGAAACTCGAAAGACAATAGGTAGCTGGTGCATATTGATATCAAATCGTTTTGCCCGAAAGTCAGGGTTTTAAATCTGGATTACAAATTAAAAATAAGTATGATAATTCGTCATGATGGTAACTCTGAATGTTTTTCGCACCAACCACAGGTCATGAACTTTGCTTAATTTTCTCCGATAGAAAAATTGGACTCTATCCCATTATTTGTGTTGCAGCTTATACTTATGTTAATCAAGAACCATTTTTTATTCAAGATTTTTATGTTACTATTGCATTTTTTAATTATTTTGTATGAATTTTTACTTTATCGTATGATTCTACGAACTTTTGAATTTTTTACGGCCTATCTAGCTACTGCATACTTCTAAAGGACTTCGAACTCTTATGCCATTCACAGCTTCGAACTGTCTTCGCGCCATTTTCATGATGTCTCACTACTGCTTATCCTGCACTCTTACTAGCGTATATTGCAATCACCATCTGCATTTGCCATATAACTCAATGCACCTGCCTGCATACTTCAATTTAATGATGTTTCTACATCTTGACACTCGAGAATAAAATACGATCTGTGTGTGTGTGTCATTGCTTATCACTGCACAATTTTTTATGACGAACGCCTACTTTCGTAAGTAGTAAGATATGCCTGCTCCCGCAACTGAATTTTCTTCGCCCATGGGTGTTGGTCATTTATTTGGAAATATCTTTGTCTAGTGCACTAACTTTTTAGTAGTTAGTGACCAGAAAAAAGTAAGTCATAAAGTATAAGTATGATAATGTAAGTATGGTAAGCATGAATTTCAGAAAAGCGGAATGAGAAAACATTCAGCTGACTTACTTGATAAAAATGCAAAGAATTTAAAAAAAACTGATCAAATATAATAATATATGTATATTAATTTTTAGGAGTAACAACAACAACAACAGAAAAAAAGAATGCAAAATAAAAATCTGAATGCTTTCAGATTTTACATTACGCCCAAAGAGACGTTCTTTTAACGTTTTCTGTGTTACCTTTTTTTATTAAATATCATGTTCTTCGCATTTAAAGCATTAAATTCAATTCAACAGCAATATCGCAAAACAATTTTAAAATGAGCATATGTTTAGAATTTCCGATACACAGTCTCGCGCGTTGGAAGTAAAAAAAAAAATTCTCGTAAGTGCTGCCATTGCTCGCTTTGAAATCGTTGAGTTTGTTAGTTCAAAATTCATTAAAGTGTTACAAAATATGAAATCGATAATACAACAAATTCCAATTTCCAAACTAGGGCTTCCAAATGCCCATATTCTGTGGAAGATTACGTTATTCAAAATTTGATGGCTCTAGGTACCGTTGTTTTATCACAGTGCGAGAAACATTTATGCAGATTCTTCATTATTTATTTTCAGGGCGATAATTTTTGGTGGCAACAGCTTGAAAAGTTAGTAAACACGGAACGTGAATCGGCGCAAAATGCCAAAACTAAATTAATAACCCTTCTCAGCTAATGATCCCTTCGGCTGAGAAAGTCTAAGTTCTTCATTAATTTTCCGATCTTGCACTGAACGCGCAGTAAAAGACTCAAAATACACGGCGTACGCATGGCGCAAACTGTATGACACAAAAATTCTGCCTCCGAGTTCCTTTATAAAGTCTAGAAATTTTGCTGCTCTTAAATTATGCTGCACCGGTACCACCCATTTTAGCTCCGGCCCGGGTGTACATTTATTTGTATGACTTGGAGAAATGATTGTAATACAGATTCGCAGAAGTAAACAACTCTCGTTTGCGTTATTCAGCTTTCTTCTCTGTTATGAATAAAGCAAAACATAAAATAATTAGAAGTTTTGAAATAAATGTTTAAACAATTTTATTGAAGCATACCTGCTGTGTTGTATTTAGATCTGATTGCAAAACATTATTATAACTGTGATTATCATCCTTATGTTTATATTTTAGGGAACTGTTTACAACATGGAAGCTTCATGCCATAATTTAAAAAGTGGTTCCTGGAGGAATCTCCCAAGAGAGATTCTTGTACATATTTTTCGTAGTTATCTGACTACAGAAAATCAGGAAAGCCTCCTAGAAATTGTGGCACCTGTGTGTTTGGAATGGAAAGAGGCCTGCTTGGATAGTTATCTGTGGCATACTTTTGATGGACATTTAGAATTCTCGAAGCTAAAGAAACTGTCTTCAAAAGGCTATCTACACCAAACTGAAATACTTCAGTTCAGTTGTAGTAATGATCTTCATTCTGTAAGAGAATTTGATAAGATTTTTAATGGGCTCCCAAATTTAAAGTATGTAAATGTGAATCAAGTTAGGAGATCACAAAAAAATCTTTTTCAGAGTCTTATTAATCATTGCTTTAATCTGTCTGAAATTGACTTTTCAGGCAAGTTTCAGTTACCTATTGTTTTTGCAGCAATTGAAGAATTTTTGTTTGTTCCTGGTTCAGCTTTAACTGGGATCAATTTGTCTAACACTTACCTAGGAAATGCATAAAAGTGCTTAAAGACTATTGCTGCTTGTTGTCCCAATCTACAACAGCTATCTCTTTTGAACATGCATTGTTGCGTTCATTTTCCTCTGTTTGATTTTCAAGCTCAGTGTTATTCCCTGAAACTTTTAGGTATGGGTTCTATTGTAAAGATGCAAGTTAAAAAAAACATTTCTTTGCCTGGTTTTCCAAAGTTAGAAGTATTTTCACTTATGACCGAAGGTGGATATTTTACAGATGAGCAAATCAGGAAAATTTTATTTAACTCGATAAAACTACAGCATTTGGAACTTCAAGGCTATTTAGGTTTAAATGTGGAAACCTTACTCCAAGTACCTGCTAACCTCTTAGAAAATTTTATTTTTACTAAATCAAATATTTGTGCTTCACAATATGTGTACGAATTATGTACCAAATGGCATCATAGTTTGAAGTTTATAGATATTTCCGGTATGAAAGGAGACTTTATTAATGAAGCAATATTAGGCCTTATTCCTCCTGGAAGCAAATCATGTGTACGTGAAATAAATTTGAGTGGCACTCAAGTAACTGCATTTACTGTTAAGAAACTTATTGAATGGTGTGATGACTTAGAAGTGTTACGTTTGAGTTCTTGCCGCAAGCTTCAAAGGGGAATGAAACAAGCGTTTATTGGGAAAACAGAGTTGCAATATCTATTACAAAAAATATACGATGAATATGTGATGAATATGCTCAGTGATGAATCAAATGAATAGAAAAATCAAAGGCTTAACTTAATATACAGGTATTTTTCTGAAGAAAATTTCACATAGTATCAATTCTGAGAAAATTTTATAAACGAAATAGCTTTGATATGGAGCGTCAAGATATATGCTTGTATATATGTTTCCACATGTTCTATGTGTTGAAAATATTGAAAATTAGTTAACCAGAGTGTACATTTAAAAGGTAGGACATAATTATGTACAGTACAGAGTTTTTCATCGCATAAAATTTAAGAGTGTGAAAAAGAAACTCGCTGCAAATGAAATGATATGGTATTAGAGACATCTAATGTAGAATTTTTTTTACTAGTCAATCATGCTGCATTCAATGAAACTGCACTGAAAAATATATCATAAGAACTATTTTAATGAAAATTAATACTGAAATAGGTAATTAAAAGCTAATAGTCTATCATAACATTTCAAGTATTCAGTGTTCATCATATGTAAGAATTCATGTTCATCATATGTATAAATTTCATGTTCATTATATGTAAAAAAATTTAACAATTAACTACATTTCATTTTAAACAAAGTTTTTTTAAAAATTTAAAGTGCATTATTTTGAGATGTGAAGTTCTTTCACTTGTATGCAGTCCTAACAAAGTATGAAAGAAGAGCTTCTAAGCATAAAATATCAAATTTTTGATCTCAGTAATGGGAAAATTATCAGAAATTTTGTATACTAGTTTTTATGGTTATGTTCATAATGAAACAGTGATAAGTATTTTGGATTTTTTTCCCAATTTTCATTGTATTATGTGACTTGCAAACTGATTGCTTGCTCAAAGTATATTAATGTTTTTAAAATTCAGAATAGAATATCATCTGAATGTTTAATAATTTGTTTTTTATATTCAAATCATTTTTAATCAAAAATAAATGAGAATTTAAACAACTTATTATTAATTATATGATGTTAAATTTCTGAAGTCATTCTTCTCATTGTAAATTTCATAAAGATAAAAGTGTACAATTTCTATTGTAAAAAGCTATAAAACATAGTCTTCAAAAGATTAAAACCTTTTGAAAAATTAAGAAGTTATAGTGCTGTTTATCATATCTTCACGTTTCAGTTTTGTACCTTTCATATCTTCAGGTTTCACTTTTGTACCTTTCTACTTTTATTAAAATGCTTTTCATACTAATATGAAGTCAGTTTTTCTTCATTGAATGTAAATTTTTTTCATTCTTCATTTTTTTTTTTTTTTTTGCCTCCTTTTTTTTAAAAAAAATATCTCTGATTATGGCATTCAGTTAACTTAAGCAACAATATTTTTTTTATTATGGGAAAATTTAACTGACATTCATGAGATACATCATGAAATTCTGCAAGCTTGGTATTTATTTTAATAATTTATCGGTATTATTATTAGTATTTTTATTAATAATTGATTACTTACTGGATTTGCAGAAGAAAGGTATTCCTACTAATTTATAATTTCTTATGGAGGTGTCACAACTGCCAAGGATTCAGGTTAGTATTTCCAGAGAAAGTATTTTTTAACCTATATAGCAATAAATAGGATTACGCTTAATTTATTTTACTATTCCATGTTTTTGTAATGTAATGAAAAATTTTAAATTCTGGAAATAAATTTATTTATTTATTATGCTAATAGGTTATTTATGTATATTAAAGCAAATTTTCCCATAATAACAAAATTGTTGATGCTTAAGTTAACTGAATGCCATAATCAGAGATATTTTTTTAAAAAAGAAGGCAAAAAATAGAGTCAAGATTTTGATTAAAGTGGATAGCAACTAGATACGTTTTCTATATCTCTATCCATATTTTACCTGTACACTTATCCCTTATCATTAAGAAGCATATTCTTAAATTGAGAATTAAGAAGTAATTATTCTACATCAAAACTGTTTGCTAGTTTTGCAAATCAGCAAAGGGTTACATTATGTAAATTTGGAAAATTACTTTTTCTAGTATTCTCAGAGTTTTGTAAAACCGAAGGGTTATTAATTAAAGCTCAAAGTACCAGTTTGGATTTTAGAATAGGATTATTTTGCAATTATTTTTTCATATAAATTCTAGTGGAAGGCAGTATGCTGATTATTTAAATATGAGAAAAAGGGAAGCAGTTATTAAAATAAAAGTTTATATATTATAAGAAAAATTTTAAATTCTGGAAATAAATTTATTTATTATTATGCTAATAGGTTATTTATGTATATTAAAGCAAATGGGGTGCCTTTGTGGAGGACTGTCTAACTCAAATTCATGTTTATTGGGGAAAACCAACTATGCAGCCAAGCCAATCGCCTGGTTTTGAACCTGGGGCAAATTATCAGTTGTCAGCAATGTTAACTACTCTGTCATTGGTAGCCTAATAACTGATATTGATGTTTTGATACAGCACTTTCCCACCAATCATGAAAGCTGGCAGAGATCTGACCAAACAACTGTGAACCATTCTGGCAAAAGATTCTTTTCAGTTATTTTTTGTTAGATAATCATTAGATGGAAATTATTAATATAGCATTAAAAATAAATATGAGCTCAACCTTTGTTTGCCCATTTTCAAATAAAATCTCTATTATGTATAATTATGCATTTTTTTAATACAAAATTTTCAATATTCCACTGCATGCTGTTTCAGAGAAGGCAAATTGCAAATTTTAAATCATTTTTTCAAAATGTAAGGGAAAATGAGAAATAGGGAACATATCTTCTTTCATAAAATTTAAGCTGCCCTGTCAAACATAAAGCGGGGCTACATATTCCTTAGTATTGTAAGTGCAATGCCAAATTATGCCATTTGCAGTTAAGACGAAGATGTTATGAGTGCATTTTTTCATGGTGTTTGTCTATTATTGAAGCTGAATCAAACTATTTGTTGATAGATTTTCCTTTGTCAAAAATTACACAAGTAGTATCTTTTTTTTTTTTTTTCGTATGACATGGCACAAATCTCTTAATCAGTAGGATTTTAAATACCGAAAATTAAACAATATATGTATATATGTAAGATAAAAAATATGAAAGCAAACTTCTAAATTTAATTCACTATAACCTTCTTTTATTTTCTATTTAATTTAGAAACTTCATCTATCTGTTTTAAAAGTAGCGCTTTAGTCTAAACTGCGTCATTCAAATTAATCATGAGATCTTACGTAACCCTTAATGCAGATGCCTCTTCACCAATCAGCAAATTGAAAACCAAAACTTTTCTCTTTCGCGTGCTTCCATCTTGCATAACTACATGCACTTCATCTTTGCTCTGTACTGTGCTAAGATGTAATTTCGCTGGCTTGCTTTCTATCTCAACAATATCAAAAATGTAAATCTTCTGTGGAAAGGCACAACTAGAGTGCCAAGTGATTGCGGCCGCAAATATCAATTGCAAATAAAAATGGAATTAAAACTGCCTCGATTGCCAAGTTCTTTAGATATTATCAAGTTAACATTATTAGCGTACTACGCAATCAAAATTTTTCTTCAATATGGATCTAAGCACACATCAACACTGCTCCGGCTTTTCCTTGTGCTTTTAATATCACATATATATTTAGTCATTAGTATATATAGAATGTTGTAATTTTCTGTATCTGATCAAGTGTTTCCATAAAATTCTTCACCTTGTTAAATTATACTCTTGGTTACAGGGCTGGTGCCAGAAGTGGGGCAACAGGTGCCTCTGCACTGAGCGACAGAATTTAGATGCAGCAAAATTTTTAGAATTTAGAGAAGCACTGAGCTGTAAAATTTAGGGATGGCAATATTTTTATGGTTTAGTAGAGGCACTGGGCAGCAGAATTTATAGCGACAGAGATTTAGAATTTAAGAATGCAGTTGAGAGCAGAATTTATAACCCACAGAGATTGCACCAGGCAGAAAATGCTTAGTGCTAAACCCTGCCTGGCTATTAGGGGTATGGAAAAGTTAGGTTAGGTAATTTGGATAAGACAAAGCACAAAAGGGACATTTGCCTTCTTTGAGGTATTTCTAAGGAAAACTGGGTCATATTCATGTTATACTCAAAGAAAATCATCCATGCAGTCAGCTTGCTTGTCTGGCTTAAACTACTAACATCAGCCACTGGTAGGGCAAATGGGCACAAAAAGAAAAAATCAAAATGTTAAGGTTATCAGCAATGTTGAAAGATGATGTTCACCAAATGGATTTTGCTAGGGAAAAAATTCTGACTTTTTTGCATGTGCTTTAGTTTACAATGTCATATTCTCTTATAAACATGTAACTTTAATGTTATTTGTAACTTTTCCATTTTTAATGATGTTGAATTCTTTCATTATTTACAGTGTGTTTTTTCGGTTTTGCTTACTGATTTCATTTACGTAATGAACTGATCTTCTGATCAAACTAGTTGAAGATAATAGTAAATTGTTCAAAATATTTTTCTCTTGATTATAATATGGGTATTTCCGCTTTAATGTGTTTTTTTTTTTTTAACTGACTCCAGGCTAACAGGACTTTTTAACACCTGATTAAGGGTAATACTAGCAATGATATCAAATCATCACCAGTGTTACACCTAATTGGAAGTTGATTATGAAATATATCAAAATTCCATTTATTACTTGATATATCTCTCACACTAATTTCATGTATAAGATTTCTGTTGCCTTTTTCTAATTGCAGCATTTCTTGTTGCATTTGCAAACACTTTTATTGTTATTATACAGTTGAATTAGGGCTTACCAGCAGCCTAGTTGATAACACTGCAAACTACTATTAATTTCAGTTCTAGAACTGATAGTCAAGTTCAAATCACTATGAATAGGCTAACTACATGGGAATTTTCATGGCTTTTCTCATGTGTAGAGTACATGCGATACAGTTTCCCGTAAAAGTCTTTCATGAAGACACCCTTTCCCATAAGCATATAGCTTAATGTTCTTAGCCATAATCTAATGAACCTAACCATGTTAGGAGGTAAAATGCCTTTTTTGAAAGCACTACTACTATGTTCTTGCCATTCTTTGGTGTTTTGCATTTGAAAGGATTATCAGTATGCGCTTCCTTTGTTGAAAGAATCGGCTGTCTGCGCGAGGTATTAGTTTCTCTTTGCGCGTGTTTTTCTTTCAGTGGCATCTGTAACATATATGTACCGAAGCAGGGCCGGATAAAGGGCGAGGGCCCCGCGTTACCATCAAAATGAACACACACACACACAAAACAAAACAAAAAAAAAAAAAAAAAAAAAAAAAAAAAAAAAAAAAAGGAAATTTAAAGCAAATTGCTTTTGACGATAATGGATAAATTATGAATTATTCAATAATTAAAAATATTATTTAATCACATTGCTGGATGAGATTTAATGTTATTATTATATATATACTTTATAATATAGAAAACTGATACCTGTAAAAGTTCATGTCAAATGTATGTAAAGGACTTATTGTGAAGCCGCTTTGCAATAAGTGGTGGGAATGTCGAATTCAAAGCGTAAAAGCAGTGAGATACTAAACAGGTGAATTTTATGATGCTCTTTTCAAAATATCAGAAATTTCTGAAGATTCACAAATTAAAAGCAAAGCAGAATCTCTGAGAAATACAATGAAAGACTATAAATTCTTAGTATCACTGGTTTTTTTCGTACGACTTACTGTTCCAAGTCAATTATATTAGCAAGAAACTTCAAAGTGAATCTGTAGACGTATCCATTGCACTTTCTTCATTTGGAAAAACTTTTAAAATGGTTAAGCAACTACAAAAATACTGGATTCGAACAAGTTTTAGTTCAGGCAAAAACTCTTGCAGAAGATTTGGAAGTATCAACGGAATTTCGAAATAAAAGGCATCGGAAAAGAAAGAAACATTTCAATTATGAAGGCGATGATGAACCTATTGAAGACCCGGTAAGTGCATACAAGATATCTTTTTCTAATGTTGTTTTATATAAAGCTACAGAAACACTAAAAGATTGTTTTGAACAATTAAAAAATCATAATGAATTATTTGAGTTTCTGGGAAAATTTCAAAATATGGAAAAAGAAGTACTTCAAAAACATGCAGCTGAATTAGAAATTTCTCTAACAGATTCTAAGTTAACAGAAAATGATGTACCAAAGGTGAAAGAAGCTGATATAAACAGAAAATTTTATTTGAAGAAATGGAAGCTTTGAAATCTATTTTTCCTTCAGAATAATTTGAAAATCCGTTTAAAATGTT